AGTACGTGTGTCCTGGATAAAGGATGGCGTGAATGTCGCTCTTAGGTTTTCTGCTTATTCCACGGGACCCATCCTAAAAGGAAGCGGTGACTGGTCCTGACAGTGGTTAAATAACGTCACCAGAGAGGATGGACGTTTTCCTTGGTACATTTTGTCATTAAAATTCCACTCCCCACGACCCGGCTCTGTCGGCCCTGCGACGCGTGGCTATGGAACTCCAGTTGTTCGGAGACCGTGGAGGTTCCTTTGTGACGATCAGCAGCGGGAGGAATGGCGAGGACCCCAGGAGGTAGTGGAGGCTGAGGGGCAGGTGCCGGTGCTGTCTTCTTAGGATCAGGTTCTCCTTAGAGTGGTCCCCTTCCCCTGAGCTCCCGTAAACAAATGGCTACACGGATGCCGTGTGACACAGAGGAGCCCCTGGCCATAACAGATAGCTTTTTCTCAAAGTCCCTAAGGAAGACAGGGGAGCCATCTCAAATGGGGGCCAGCTGGGCGTCCAGTCACCAAGGTGCCTGGCGACATTGGGCTTCCCTGCTCAGGTGAGCTCGGCCACTGTCCCCAGCGTCCCGGGCCGGGCTGGGCGGCCAGCGAGCTGTCCACCTTCAGCCAGGTCCATCATGTCCCCGCGGTGTCCACAGGACAGTCGGCACTGCCCATCAGAGAGAGACTATTTTGCCTTTTTATGAAGGATCCGCTTTAAAGAAATAGGGAGGCGGACTCAGCAGCCCTCACAGGCTTATGCTCGGCCCCGTGGCCTTGGGCTAGTTGCTTAACCTCTTGGAACTTCATCGGTAAAAGGCGGTGCAGACGCTGATGTCACAGGTTGTCACAGATGAAATGAAAGCAGCACGGTGCCCGGAACATCACGGTGATGTCATTCCCGTCCCCAGTGAGGTCAAGGTCAGGTCTGATGTCTAACGGGGGTTCCTTGTCAGGCGACTGAGTAGGTGCTCAGCTTAATTTTTTCTTTTTCCCTCTGCTTTTCCTTCCTTCCTTTCCTTCTCTTCCTTTTATTTAAAAAATATTTTTTTAGCCTGGGGTTATCGTTCATAGAAAGCAAACAAAAGGGTGCGATCCTATTATGTGTTAATTAAAAGCTGCTCATTTCAAGGCACCAGCTAGACGGGTGAATGCGGACTGGATTTTCAAACAATTTCAATCTACAGTTCCCAGTCTGCCTGGGAAGCAGGAAAAGGCTTCAGCAGCCGCTGGCTTTCCAGAAAGCTGGAGGAGAGGCCTGGCCTGACTCAGCGTCGCCCTGGCAACGGCAGGGCCCCAGGCCTCTGTCCCTGATCCCTTAATCTGAGGAGCCGCCACCGCAGCCTCGGGAAAGGTCCCCCCGGACACCTGGCTACTTGAAGCCGCCCTGCCGCAGGAGAGGGACAGGAGAGGGACAGGCGAAGACGGAGGGACAGCTCTCTCTGCCCCCCCCCCTCTCCAGGCCCCCCAAGGCGTCTGGCACATCAGGCCACCGAGGCCCCACCAGACGCTGAGAGCCCCCGAGGCCCCGGGTGGCTCCTTAGCCTCCCGCCTTCCTCCCCGGAGCGCAGCGAAGGGCTCTGCCCACCAGCCGGGCTTGGTAAATCTGGGCAGGCGCGGTGGCGCGCAGGCAGCCGGGGCCAGACCTCGCCCGGGCCACTGTTGCCCCCACCGCGGGCGGGAGCCGCTCTCCACCCCCTCGTCATTTCGTGGCTGCAGACCCAGAGGTTGATGCTCAGCCCTTCTTTCCTCTGATTTAAAAAAAATTTTTTTTACTACGTCATAATTTCGGCAAACCCGCGACACAACACATCCCGCCCCACGTATTTCCCCCAGTTTTGCCTTAAAGTCCGAGGGTAAAGCGGAATCCCTTGAAGGAGGCACTGGCTTTCCTTTCTCAGTAACCTTCCGGGTCCGGGGGAAGAACTGTGGCCAAGCAACATGGGCTGTGGCGTCAAGGACGTGAGTGCAAATGCCCACTGCCCACTGTGCGCCGGGGGGCTTTGGGCGGACTCGGGCAGGACCTCCCTGAGCTCACGCTCTTCGCCCCCGAGGGCGATGATTCATCAGCTTCATGAGGTAACCCAGGCGAAGTCTTCGGGAGGAAGACGCACTTAGCACATGCCGAGGATGCTTAGGAGTTTACGAGTCTGACTAAATGAAGGGCAGCCGGGGCCAGCATGTGAAATACCGCCACCCCAACCCCCCAGAAGCTGGTGTGCCCCCCACTGCAAACTCTGGCTTGTGGCTAAGAGGCGAGTGTCGACCCCTGTCCACGCCTACATCGACACCAAGGGGTCAGGGCCTGTGTGGTGGCCTTGAACTTCCTCACGGCCAAACACCTTCCTGCGTCTGTGGGTTCGGAAGTTTCCTACCTGGAATTCTGTTGTCCCTGAGCGAAGGCACCGCTGGCCGTGAGCTAGTGGCGAACCAGCACGTAAGACCTGACACGTGCCAGCGTCCTGATTCCTTGTCACTCCGCCTCAGGACAGCGGGGTCTGCTCGTCCCCGTGAACAGAGAGGAAATGGAAGCCGGTGATGAACGCGTTCGAGGGCACACAGCGCTCAGGTCGGACTCCACAGCTGTTCAGCCGAGTCCGTCTACACCTGCGTGACTGTCGTGTTTGCTGTCGGCTTCTGACCGCTGTGAGGGACTGGGGTTAGGAAGTGACAGCCACAGTGTTGAGGGGACAAGGGGGGGCTACCCGGAATAGAGGGGGCTGGGCCGAAGAAGGAAGGGGTATGTGTTGGGCACTTGGGGTGGAGGGGGCGCGGAGAACCCCCGACCGCCCAGCCCCACATAACACATCCCAGCAAGTTTCCTAGGGCAAGAAAGACTCCCAGTTGCCACGGCCACGCCCACCCCTCTCCCAGGGTAATGAGGTTACCCCCTGAGGCGCCCTTGCATTTCATCCCAAATCACCGCAGTCTCCTGCTCAAGTCTGAGTCTCATGTCCCAGGCTGGTGGGGACTTGAGCAGCGTGGCCCTCCACCAAGCACCCCAGGAACGCCCAGCGTGGCCCTCCACCGCGCTCCCCCAGGAACGCCCAGCGTGGCCCTCCACCGCGCTCCCCCAGGAACGCCCAGCGTGGCCCTCCACTGCGCACCCCTTGGATGCCTAGCGTGGGCCTCCACCGTGCACCCCCGGGACGCCCAGGGTGGCCCTCCACCAAGCACCCCCAGAATGCTTCTGCTAACATTGCCATCAGGCCCACATTTCTGGGGCTCAGAGTCATCTCCTTAGCTGCCAGTGACACTCCCATGGCCAGCCTCTGCCATGGCTGCGTGTCTCTGGCCTGACGCTGGGACCAGGTTCCTGACCCATCAGGTTGGGTCTCCTGCCACCCAGTGACACCCCCTCCCCTCTCGGTAAGCTTCCATGGTGTCTCAGATGAGATCAAGTTCAAATTGAAGACCCCCTGCACCCCAGTCTACTCCAAGCCAACCATCGGGACCCAGTTTCTCTCTACTGGCCTTTCTCCAGCTCCGTGGAGTCAGTCGAGCTCCTTAACTCATCGAGCTCACTTTCCACACCTCCACCTTCAAGACCTGCACCTTCCTGGCCTCTCACCTGAAATCCCCCACAGCCCACGGGACCAGCTGATGCCACCTCCACGGAGCAGCTGTCCCGACCTCTCCGGGCCTCCTGGAGTGGACAGCACAGGTGCATGTGCTTGGTGCCTAGTGTTTATGGCACAAGAATGTACCCACCGGCCCCCAGGCCCCCTCCACTCTGCAGCGGTAGGCTGGCCGCCCTGCCAACCTGTCCCGCCTGCCGGGCCTCTGCCCTCCTCTGGCGGGCTCCCCAGGGCCTGCTGGCCTTTTAGAAATGCCCAGCGTGCAGGGAGAAGTCCTGTTCTCCCAAGCGTGGCTTGGGCCTCCCCGCTCTGTGACAGCCTATGCATCTTTATAAAGTTTATGACCACGAGGCTTCCTTCAGCCAATAATGTAACCCCATCTCCCCTCAAATTGCCTTTTCTGACCCCCTATAAGTGTCTTGGCCTCTTCTTGCCGCCACCTGCCCCTGGGCTCCTGCAGTCATGCGGGGCAGCCTCCCAGGCTCGGGGCTGAGCTCCGTGCACCACTAGCCTCTGAGAATGGGCCCTTCAAAGCCTGACTTTGTCTGGGTCACTGCCAGACCCCAGACAGAGCGAGAGTAAAGCTCTGTGGGCGAGTCATAGGCCCCGGGTTTCACTTCCTGTGCCTCCCTGGAAGGAGACTGGAAACCAACTTATACCGACTGAAAGTGGGGTGCAACAGACGAACCAAGTTCTGAGTGGTGCCACCTGGCACCAGGGACCTCTGCACCCCTTCCCTGCTGCGCCCTGCTGGCTTGGCCACCCACCCCTCCACCAGCCACAAGCAAGCTGGGCTGGAGGGCTGCCCCTGGGGGAGCCCCAGCTTCTGCGGTGGGGGGGCCTCTCTCCAGCCCACTCCGGCTGGCACCACCTCAACTTGCTCCTGGTGCTCAGGGTACCTGGCGGTGGCAGCCGGCAGCCTCTGCCCTTCCTTCAGCTCAGGCACCGCTCCCAGCTGGTCTGTCCTGACGGGCCTGCGGGGTTCTGCGCCCCACGGCCACGCAACACGGGGGTGGGCTCCTACAGGGGACAGCAGCACACGCCGCCGCCCTAGCCCGTCCCTGGGCCGCCTTCTCAGCCCCCCCTTCCAAGCCAAACAAGAACGGCAAACAGGAAACGCTCGTCTTTTAAAAATTACTCTATTATCATCAAATAGAACCACAGTATCCAAAAGGTGATCATAAAGTTCTAGCCCCAGCTAAGTGGCCCTGCGCCGCCCCCCGAGTGGCCGGCGGCCAAATCACGCCCCCCGTGCCGATTGGTTTCATCCATTTTATTGTCAAGGAAAGTAACAGCCGAAGGGGGCCCCGGGTTTACACGGCAGCAAGCGGCCGGGTCTCGCGACCTCCGCGTCCCGGGGAGAGGGGCGGCAGGAGGGGGGGTCACAGCAAAGGGGCCGGGGGCGCGCGCCCACCCGCCGGGCTCGGGCCGCGGGGCCTCGGGGTCCGGGGCGTCCGAGGGGCGGGCGCGGGGGCTCACTCGCCCGTGTGGGTCCGCAGGTGGTACTTGAGCGACTGCTTGTAGCGGAAGCACTTGGCGCAGTGCGTGCAGGGGTAGGGCCGCTCGCCCGTGTGCGCGCGCTGGTGCTCCAGCAGGTGGTGCTTCTGCGTGAAGCGCTTGCCGCACTCGGCGCAGTGGTAGGGCCGCTCGCCCGTGTGGATGCGCCGGTGCTCCAGCAGGTGGTGCTTGCGGATGAAGCTCTTGCCGCACTCGGGGCAGGCGTGCGGGCGCTCGCGCGAGTGCACGCGGCAGTGGTTGGTGAGCTTGGACTTCTCGCTGAAGCTCTTCTCGCACTCGGGGCACTTGAAGGGCCGCTCGCCCGTGTGAGTCCGCTGGTGGCGCAGCAGGTGCGACGGGCGGCTGAAGCTCTTGCCGCACAGGCTGCAGATGAAGGAGACCTCGTGCTTGCCGGCGTGCACGCGCTGGTGGATCACCAGGCTGATGTGCAGGCGGAAGCTCTTCTTGCACTCGGGGCACGTGTAGGGCCGCTCGCCCGTGTGCGTGATCTGGTGCTTGGTCAGGCTGGACTTGTGGCTGAAGCTGCTGTCGCACTCGGGGCACTTGTAGGGCTTGGGCCCGCCGCCGCCGCCCGAGCTGGGCGACTTGGGGCGCGGCTTGAGCGCGTGCTTGGGCGCGAAGCCGGGCCCGCGCTCAGGGGACGCGTAGCCGCCGCGCGCGCGGTGGATGCGCTGGTGCAGCGTGAGCTGCTGCTTGTGGCGGAAGCTGACCTCGCACTCGGCGCACGCGTAGGGCCCCTCCTTGATGTGGCCGCGCTGGTGGATGATGAGGTTGATCTTCAGGCGGAAGCTCTTGCCGCACTCCATGCAGGTGAAGGGCCGCTCCCCGCGCCGGTTGCGCTGCTGCTGGCCGGCGCCGCCCCGGCCCTCGCCCAGGTGGCGCTCCCCGTGCGCGGCGGGCGCCAGCCGCTTCACCGCCGGGCCGCCCAGCTGCAGGGGCGGGGGGCTCTCGGCGCCCTCGGGGGACAGCTCCCCGGGCAGCGGCGGCGGGTACATGCCGGCCTCGTACCTGGCGGACAGCGGCCCGAGGGCCTGCAGGTGCTGCGGCAGCTCCTCCTCCTCCTCGTCCTCCTCCTCGTCCTCCTGCTCCTCGGTTTTGATCACGATGCCCTCTGCTCGGGCGGGGAGACAGACACGTTAGCGCGGCCGGTGCCCTCGCCTGGCTGTGGGCCCGCCGGGGCCCGCCCTCCCCTGGCCGCACCGACTGCAGAGTGCGGGCCCGGTTTGGTCTTTTTTACAAAAATCCAACCTCCCCTTTCCCTCCCGTCCCCCTCGGGGTTTCTCCCCGGGCAGCAGGAGGACGGCCTCCTGGGGTGGCAGGCGGCACTGCTGGGGCCCTCTCCGGGTTGCTGGAGCTGCAGCCACAGGAAAAGCAGCAGACCGAGGTGCCCGAAGTGGGCATCCTTGGGGGTCTACCATGATCTGAGGCCACGATCACCCCCTTTTCACCTAAGCTCCTTAAGGGTTGGGTTTCTACCACCCCTAGCAAAAGGGTCTCGATTCATCGGGCTCAACCTGTCCCCTCTGGGGGCTCCCATCTGAACTCCGCTCAGCCCCCCTGGTCTATATCTGTCCCCCCTTTGCCTTCCTCCAGCCACTTCCCCTCCACGTCTCCAGAGGGTGCCCATCACTTAACTCCCAGTTCCAATTTTGTCTTCCCGAATCTCACCTGCCCAGGTGGACGACTCACCTGCACAGTCTGACTCTCTCAACCCAGAAGCTGGGGTGAGGGGTCCTCTGCCTCTCCCATGGCTCTGGCATGGGGTGCTCGGCACAGGGAAGTGTTTCCTGAGCACCTGGCTGACAGGTTCCTCCTCCTCCCCGCGCCCCACCCTCAGCCTGCCCCTTTAGGACCGGGTGAGCTCTTCCCAGGCCCTGCGGGATGCAAGTCTTTGACCCCAGGCTGAACGTTCTTCAGCGCAGTACTCAGTCCCCTAAGCGCTCCTCCCTGGGAACTCTATTTTTAGTCACTGACTTTGTGTGACCTGAGAAAGTCACTCCTCCAAGCCCACCTGTGAGAGGAATCATAGCCTGCACTTGCAGAATTCTTATATGCCAACAAACAAGAACTTTTTCAAAGCCCTACACACCTGTTCTCTTTTCATAATCACAATATCTCATTACAGGGAAAGTCAAGCAAGACTTACCCCCATTTCATGGACACGGGCATCTAGGCCCAGCGATAACCCGTGATGTTGCCAAGTAAAGGAAATGAATTCACGGATCTTTGCGGAGCTTGCGATCTAGCCTGTCCCCTGAGACCACAAGAGGTGGGAACCAGCTGTGCTGTGACCTGGCCAAGGTTTTGTATGTCTGAGTGACTGTCACTGCCTCGGAGGCCAGTGTTCAGGCGAAAGCGCAGCGCCAAGAGTCCCAGCCTAGGCCTCTGGCCATAGGTCAACTCTGCCTTGTTTCTGTGAGGTTTCTTGGCAGGAAGTGACCAAGAACAGACTCAGGACAGGGGCTGCAATAGTGAGGAGGGGGGAAGCAGCTTCAGAGGTTGATAGGCCGTCATGTTGGTGCTGATCCTGAGAATGAAGGCTGTTTGTGAAAGACAGAGGGGGGACAGGGCCTAGGAAGATCGAAATGCTCCTGGAGCATCAAAGTGGTTTTCTTTATGAAATAAGCTGACTCTAAAATTCAGGACCCAAAACCCCACAAAGTACTGTTTAAGGATCTACTAGAATTAATGAGAATGCTCAAGGGTACCTGAGGCTTCTCTGAAGAAGCGGTAGCTGGGCATAGTCTTATAGCCTGCCTTGCATCCCCCACGATCCTTATCTGAAGGACAACGTGGGGTATTTTAAAGATTCCAGGAATACTGCGAAAATAAGGAGCTAGATGTGTATCTTTCGAGCAAGAAGGATGTCCGTGATATTACTAAGTGCAACAAGGGAAACTGCAAAGGAATTCTCTACGGAAAAAAATGGAGAAACATTTTAATCAACCTAATACTTAAGAAACCTAACTAAAGTGGACACGCATACATTTCTAAGTATATAAATAATACATAAATTGGTATGTGTAATGTCTTTTACACATGAGCCAAAACATCCACATAAAAACTGAGGGGGAGGTGATGGGGGGAAAAATAACTGATACTCAAGTGAGTTCTATCAAATTTGCAAAAAACACACCTCCTGTCTTATACATTATTTTTCAAAATACAGAAAAAAAGAACAAAAACTTCCCAGTTGTATAATCTTGTTTCCAAAACCAGGTGAAGAGGATTCAAGAAAAATCGATTCATTTCATTCATGAATATAGTTGTAAAACTCCTGAATAAAATAGTAGCTAATTAAATCTAATAGTATATTTAAAAAATACACCATGATAATCAGCTAGGGCTTTTCTTAGGAATGCAGGGACAGCTTGCTATGCGCCCATGCCCTTTCTGGTATCCTGATGCTCACAAGGAGCAAGGATATGCAGAATGGTATACTGAAGCTTTATAATGAAATAAATAGGTTCAACCAGAGAGAGACAGTACATTCATCATTTAAAAAAATGTAATACGTGCTCTCTCTTCAAATTATAGCACAAAGTAATAATAATCAAAACGGTATGGTATTGGAATAAAATAGACACAAATCAGTGGAACAGAACTGAGAGTTGAGAAAAAACCCACACTAATATGGACAGTTGATTCACATCAAAGGAGCCAAAAGCATACAATGGAGAAAAGGAAAGTCTCTTCAACAAATAGTGTTGGAAAACTGGACAACCACATGCAAAAGAATGAAACTAGACCACTATCTCATATCATACTGATATTCATTCAAAATGAAATAAGGACTTACACATTAAGACCTGAAACCATAAAATACACAGATGAGAGGCTTAAGATATGGTCTAGGCACACAATGGAATACTACTCAGTGATTAAAAAAAAAAAAAAGGGTGAATTCTTGCAATTTACAACAACGTGGGCCTTGAGGGGATTATCCTTAATGGAACAAATCAGAAGAACAAGACAAATACCAGCTGATTTCATTCATACATGGGCTATATAGAAACAAAACAAAGGAACAGACAAAACTGAGCCAAAACCAACCCTAGAAATCTGACTTCAGAACTGAGGCTAAGGGAGGGGGTGAGGGTTGAACAAAGGAGGGATGGGTACAAGGGACTGTGGTGGAAGCCTATGGGTGCCTTGGTGGTGTGGTAACACACCTGAAGTGGTGTGAACCTGTACCCCTAAAACATATGCAGTGTTGTAAACCAATACCGCCTCAATAAAAACAATTTAAAAAAAAATTAAAAAATAAAATGGTGCAGGCCTCCCTGGTGGCGCAAGCACTATGAAGCAATCCGCAGCCTCTGCAGCACGAGTTCGATCCCCAGCTGGCCAGGGAGCTACCCACATGGCACAGCAGACCACTCCTGTCTCACCCGCTGCTCCCCTCAGCTGTGTATTTCAGTAGCTCTGCCTATTCTGCTCCCCACTCTCTCTGGTGAATCCTCTCACCCCTCGCATCTCTGGCCTGTACCCCAGCTCTTGTATGCGTAAATAAATAAATCTTTAAAAAAAATAAATAAAACGGTGCTCTCCAAGTGTCAGTCCAGGCTCTACTGTGAGGTCAGAAGGATCAAGGACACACTGGGAGATGGAGCTTCAGTTCTGCACTATCCTGTGACCTTGAAGAATTTTCTAGACTCTCTGCCTATAGAAGGAAGGGGTCAGTGAGATGATGTCAGATCTCTTTGGGCCCCATATGGCCTCATCCCAGTATGTAGCACCTTCCTTCCTAGCCCAGAGCCTGAGGGCTCTGTGGCCCCCGTGCCCCATAGGGCCCCCCAGCTGGCTGGAGAAGCGGCTGGCAGGAGGCGGTCCCTGCAGCCCCCGGGCCACTGACCTGCGCAGCCCCTCTGCTGCACCAGCATCTGCTTGAGCTCGCTGAACTCGCCCGAGCCCTCAGTGGACTCCTCCAGCGCGCCGTCCTGCTCGGGCAGGTCCAGGTCCGGCTGCTCCCCGCACGGGTCCCCCAGTTCCGAGTCTGGGAAGCCGTGTTCCTCCACCTGGCCCATCAGGGGCTCGGGCGTCTCCAGGCTCTCCGAGCCCTCATCATTGGTCTGCACCTCGATCTTAATCACGATCCCGTCATGTGCTAGGGGGCAAAGATTTGTAACAAATATAAATAAGTAAATAAAAAGCATTTAGAAATATTTCCAATTCATTCCCCCTGCCCAGGGTTCTGCAGCTTGAGAATTCACGTTCACCAACTCTTATCTGGGCGACTGGGGGGCTGCAGCACCGGGTGGGCGGTGCGCAGACACGGAACCTTCTGGGCATTCTGTAGCCTTGAACACCAGCACAGCCTCGACGCCTGCTTTGTTTCCCCTGACCCCTAGGATGTCTCACAACTTGTAAAACAGCGCCAGGGGTTATTTAGAAAAGGCCCGAGGCGTGGCCTGATGCCAGCGAGTTTTTCTCTTTCCCTCAGCAACCCCCCCCTCCCCCCCCCCGCGCCCTTCCAGCCCCCTCACCCCAGGTCCAGCACCCAGACCAGGGACCTGCCCACCCCGGCCCAGGTCTATACCCAGGGGGTGCGCAGGGCTGGTTTTCAGCTCAGCAGCGGCGCTGATCCGGGCATTCGGCACGTTGCTGTTTCTCAGGGCAGTATTTTTTTTCTTTAATCCGCCTTCCCCGCTCACTCCCCACTTCTCGGAGGCGAGAGGGAACTGTGTAACTGACTGGTCTTCTCTGTCCTCACGGAGCTATTTATTACCCAGTCACAAGTTTTTATTTTCTGGCCAATATTGACACTTAACAAAAAAAAAAAAGACAGTCCTCCCGGCTCCTTTTCCCACCCAAGGATCGTGTAAAAATGCCCTCACGCCGGCCTCGCCAGGCGGCCCCTGGCTTTCAAGAGCGGTGCAGACGTGGGCCCCGGCGATTCTGTGGGGTGTCAGCGTCCCTCAGTGGGGAACGTGCCTTCTGTTCCCCGTCCTTGTCTTGGAGGACAAGGCCTCGCGCATCTGTGTCCTTGTGTCCCCCCCATACAGTGGTGGTTTCTTCGCGAGCCCAGGAGCGGGGCCGAGGGCGTCTCTTCCACCGACGTGCTATTGGGCGCTGTCCAGCAAGACGATTCCCACTGCTGCCAGCCCCGTGCCCCCGCACCCCCGCTCCCCAGTCAGAGGGTGAGAAGCCGGGACGCCTGAACCCCGCCTCCCTGGCTAGGGGAGCCGGGCCTCATCTCTTCTGATTCCGCGTGACCTGCGCTTTGCCCGCGGCCACCGGCAGAGCCCCCGACGCCTGCTGAAGACAATCCAGCTCCAGCGCTGCCCTCAAACCTCCGCCGACTGGGTTCATCATCAACCTTTTAGCATGAACGTCCTTAAAGCCTCATGGCACGAAGTACGCCCCTCTCTTCATGGCTTCTGGGTTTTCTTCCCTAGCTCAGGGGGTCTCCCTGGTGCTGGGCGCTTCACCGGCCTCCCAGGTGTCCCTCCAAGGCTTTTATTCTCGGGCTGTTTACAGGTTCCCCTGATTTCCTCCCAGACCAGCAGAGCTGGGGCGCACAATCCCCCGGCTGGGCATCCACGCCGTTGTTAGGGGAGTTACCCGTACGCAGCACACCCGCACCCTCCTCCGGCGTCTGCTCAGCAGGTGGCTGCCGAGGCCCGCAACGCGCTGTGGGGTGCGCTAGGGCCTGGGCCACACGGGCCACCAACACAGAGCTCCCACCCTCAGCCCGCTGACGCGAGGCGCCCACATGACTGTGCAGTGCAGGGTGCCCCAGGTCACAGCACCGTGCACAGAGGACGCTGGGCACCAACAAACTAAGCCCCCAGCCCCTGACCCCCGAAGCGGCCTCCTCGTTCCTCGCCCCTCGCCCAGCTCCAGGGAACGGAGACCAACAGCCCCGCTGACGCCGCCACCAGAGCACGCTGGGCTGGGCTCTGCTCCATCGACTTTCATGGCTGCTCACCTGGGAGCGAGCAGCCCGGGTGTGAGGCAGCTGGAAGGTCCTGGGCTGCATCCCCACAGCCTCCAAGCAGATGCGCCACCTCCCCTCAGAACTGAGTCCCCAAAGATGTCTCCAGCCCACTCTCTCACCAAAAAAGATAACGTCGCCCACAGCACGCCCCTGACTTCTGCCCACTGGAGCCCAAAGTCAGCATCCGCCTCCCCTTTCTCCTCAGCACCCCCTCTCACCTGCGCCTCCCCGCTCTCCTGCCCTGCCCACTCCCCCTGGGCTCCCCTCTCCTCCCGCTTCAGTCCCTCCCTCTGCTCTCGAACTCGCTGACTCCAGCATCAGGAAACATCTAACTTCACAAACTCCTTGGAAGATTTTGCTTGTCTCCTCCCTACAGTGATTAAGGACGACGTGCCCCTTCCGGGTAAACACAGAAAGTCACAGTCACTGCAGTCACTGGAGATGTCGTGCCCGGGGGCCCTGAAGACCAGCCTCGCCCTCCCCCTGTGCTGCCGCCCATGGCCAGGAACCCCAGCCATTTTAAACCATTATTCACTTCAAAATTACATGAACAGGGCCTGCTTTGAGAGTTGCAATTTAAATCATCCCTTTTCACCTCGAACTTCTATTTCCATCCTGCTCTGCCCACGGAATCTTATCCTAATAGGACATATTTTTATGCTTCGAATCTTACTGATCACCTCACCTACCACTGCCACAAAAATGAGTCTGTAAACCAAAGATTAACTTTGCTTTCATTCCCACGAACCCCAGGGCTCCGAGTGTTCATCCCCCCGCACCCCCATCACTGTAGAACGAGCCGCAATCATTCAAGGTGGGAACAGAAGTCCTGCTGGGCGCGTCTCTCCCAGGGGTGGGCCGGGGCCCGCCAGCTCCCTTCTCCGAGGATGAATATTCTCATGGTTTGGCGGGTTCAGGGTGAAAGCCACCCCTCCCTCTCGTGTGTACATCTCATCTGGGGAGTGGCTCATCCACACTGGGGTGCGGGGGGGCTGGCGAGGTCGTTTGGGGCTCATCGTGCCTGTCTTTGAACTTCCGAATGATACCGTCAGGGAGCACAGGGTTAACGCAGCATCGCAAGCTGGTCATTATTCTATTACCAGCTGCCATCTAAATGAAGTTCTTTCAATTTTGTTGGGCAAAAAATTGTGGCGAACAGTGGAACTTGCCAAGGTGTTCACACCAGCTTGGCTGGGGGGCGATGCACCCACCCCATCTGTTGGCTTCGAAGAGACACCCCGACTAGGACAGGCTGGCAGGGGCTTCCCCTTTGGTAACTAGACGGACCCCCTCGGCCGACCGTGTGTCCCTCTCGGGGAGTCTGCTATAGCCTCAAGGGCTGGGATCCCTGCCCCCTGCCCCCCATGCTCCTACAAATGTCACGTAAAGCTCTGGTTGAGCAGAATCTGCTCCTCCCTGGGGGGGTTAATTCTCATACGTGCAGCATTTACGCATTTGCAGGCTTTTGGCGGCTGGTTAGACCCAGGGAGGCCTGTTGCTCCCGCCCCAGATGCCGACAGAGCAGTGACAAGCAAACTGCACTTATAAACAGTCGTTTCTGCACCCAGTAGGAAGAATGAACCACAGACGCACACATCGAGTACAGTTTATGGCCAAACTAGCATTTCAAAGCAGGGGGAAAGTCTGGAAGAAATGGGAGTGGACACAGCTGGCCTCCGAACTAGAAGCAAAGGAACAAGTACCCGCACATATCTCTCAGCCACAGAAATGACGGATGGAGCAAAAATTCAGACATAAATAATGAAATCATACCCACGGTAGGAGAAAAACACAGATGACTTCCACCGCCCGCAGCTGACCGGGGCCACCCTGAGCCTGGGGCCACCCGAGGCCCACCTCGAGGACACAGGGAACACTCAGAGCTACACTCAGCCACGATCATTCTCTGTTGTGCCTTTTTATTGGAAATACATTTCTGCGGCTTTGCTGTCACATCACCTGACACCTGTGATTTGGCTGATCATCCCGGCGGTCACTTCCTTTTCTGAGATGCCTGTGAAGGGAAACATCCAGCCTACACGTTGTTTTCAAAGGTGCTAAATGTTTGTGGACATTCAATTTAATAATAAATAAAGCAGAGTGTTAGAGCTGTAGACACTTAAAACGTTTAATTATTTACACTCTATAACTTCTTTTTTGTTTTCTGGAGGAAAAACCACCTCCAGTATCAAATATTTTTCTAGGTTTTTGAAAAGTTTATAGGCTCAAGGCCTGTGATCAAAATACTGAATAAAAAGAGGCTGAGGAAGTATTTCTACACTTGACATGAAACCCACACCCCATAAAGAAAAATGACTGGTGAATCTGAATACATAGAAACTTAAAATTGATAAATTTGAATGCCTAAAAATTTGAAAGAGCTGTACCACACACATATACACACACACAAACACTATATATATAAAGCCAAGTTAAACTTGGAAACATATTTGTATCTGTAAGACAGACAAGAGGTAATATCCTTTTTTTAAAAAAGCTTTTACAGATCAATACTAAAGAGGCAAGTAATCCAAACAAGAATGGGCAAAAGATAATTCATAAAATAAGACCCACTAGTGAGCAGTACAGGGTTTCAAAATCGCCCCATCATCTCTTTATGGAAGTCAAATGAAAACATCAAAATACTGTCTTTTCTACCTAGCACTTCCGCTAATAGCAAAAAGGCAAATAATGTCTCCTGCCGGCTGAGTGTGGGGGCCGGGCGCGTGCACTGAGGAAGGTGAATAAATCAGCACCAGCGTTTTGCATGGCGCCCGCTACTGTCAAGCCTTGAAAGGGTATTCCTTTGACCCAGGAACTCTCTGAGGCAAGTTTCAGGCAGGTACACGAAGACTTCTTCCTAACGGATCTTCAGTGAGGCCCTGAGACGTGTGAGCACTCTAAACACACATCGGTGGGGTTTATCTGAATCAGTATGAAATCAGAAGACCTTGGCCTGCTATTTTAAAAAGGGGGTGATTCACATGTCAAGACACAAAGACAGACGACTGAAAAAAGTTGCCAAATAATGCACTTCTTCGTTGTTTTAGTTTTTTAATGTGTTTGTTACTTAGTCGAGGCTGAGTGTGTGTGTGTGTGTGTGTATGTGTGTGACTATGCACATAAATTGCAAGGGACAAATTGTTGACTTGAGAATCACGTGGGGCTTTCACTTTTTCTGAGCTTTTTCTTTTTGAATGATGTTGATGCAACTTTGGTTTCACTGGCCAGTGAAAACCAGTAAACGTTTCCGACCAGCTCAGAGCGAAGCATTGACAGCTGCCACTAGTGTTCCAACTTCCCAGGCCTGCACTTCGTCAGATTTTTAAACTGTATATTAATTTTTTAAAAAAGTTGTATCTGTGCATAGGCCACAGGGCTGAACGCGATCTTTAAAACTTGTTTTTTAAAAAGCACCTCTCCACCTTCCTGCTTCCCATAGGCAATCACTTCAGTTTTTCTAGCTGACTCCACCTTACTGCCCTAGGTACCACACTCTGCAGATTTTAAGCAGATTTCTAGGGCTGGTGGTGAGGACCTCTCTTCCCCATCCATCCACAGCTCCTCCAATTCCTCGATCCTTCCCAATTCAGTCTGTGATTTGGGCTAGAGTAACAGTGGGTATTTACATTCTTAGTTTATATGAATGTTATTTAAAATTGAGCCATGCCCTGTGCTCTAAGAGCTTTTCTTTGCCTGTAAACTTTCTTGCTTTCCTTGGGGCTAATAAGTCTTTTGCTTAGTTTACTGTTAATGATCATTGTCAGTTCAAAACCCACCCCCTGCTCCGCAACTGTCCTCTCAAAACATTTAAACATGATGGATATTTCTGTTTCATCTACTCAAAGAAATTTTTTCTGGAACCTTCTGACGTGCTCAGCCTGAACCAGTCGCTTCCAGGTGAACAGCTGTCTTCTCGGGACACCCCCACCCCCTCCCGGCACCTGAGTATTCCCTTTGCTTCCCATGTTGGGGCGCCTAACACCTCTCTCTTGGCTTACATCCTCACCTGGCAAAGCAGTGTCTCTCCCAGCTTGAGAGAAGGAGACCTCGAATATCTCAAAATGTCTCCATTTCACACTCATATTGAATGAGAACAGTCTGGGTAGACAGCAAATTCTAGAATGGCTGGAAACTGTTTTCCAATTTATGGGCACTGCCCTACCACCCGTGGTTTCCGATACCACTAACCGGCCTAGACGAGCCATTGCCCGTCCTGGGAGCCTGCAGGGCTTGGCTTGGTCCTCGGCGGCTCTGAAATTCCCCACTGAAGAGCATAGGCATGGGGCTATTTCACCCGTAGATCTGGAGAGATCTGGAGAGTTCTCCAGCACTTTCAATTTAGAAAATGACATGCTGGGGGGCCTCCTTGGTGGCGCAAGAGGTTAAGACGCAGCCTATGAAGCTATCCGCAGCTACTGCAACAACAAGAATTTGATCCCCGGCCAGGGAGCAACCCACATGGTGCAGCAGAACTCTCCTGTCTCCCTACTGCTCCCCTCAGCAGTGTATTTCCCCTCAGCAGTCAGTCTGCCTGTTCTGTTCCCCACTATCTCTGGTAAATCCTCTCACCCCTCACATCTCTGGCCTGTACCCTAGTTCTTGTATGCATAAACAAATAAATCTTAAAAAAAAAATTAACAGGACCTCTCCTGGTGGTGCAGGTTGTTGAGCGCAGCGCTGTGAAGCTGTTCACAGCCTCTGCAGCAAGAGTTCGATCCCGGCCAGCCGGTGAGATTCCCACACGGCGCAGCTGATCTCTCCTGCCTTGCCTGCTGCTCCCCTCAGCAGTGTATTTCAGTAGAAATGGCTTCCGATACCACTGACTGCTGTTCTGTTCTGCTCCCCATTCTGTTTCTGGTGAATCCTCTTACCCCCGCACCTCTGGCCTGTACCCCAGTTCTCTTATGTATAAATAAATAAATCTTTAAAAAAAAAAAAAAAAAAAACAGGTACCGATGCCGTCTCCACAACTCACCTCCTGCCCTTACCTCCCTCCAAACAGGCTCCCCACCCCCCATCTCTCTTGCTGAGGTCCCCATATGCAAATCGGACGCCAGCTCCACACTCCGCCCCAATGACCTACAGTGGAGCACAGCACCCGCACCGCCAACCCCCCACTTCCCCAAAGCTCTCTGCTCACCCACCCAAGACGGCCACCCTTGTTTCCAGCCACCTCCAGGTGCCTGCGATTCCTCTGCTTCCTTCTCTACTAAATCCCACAACAGCCCCAGGTACACGAGAATCATCACGGAGGCTACTTAGGTACCAAGGCCTGTCCCCCAACACATGTCCCCCAGTTCTCCAAATCTGCGCTAAAGTCAGGGCCCCCAAGGCATGGGCTGGGCCAGAGTGGGTCCACCGGCACCAACCCAGGTCTGCTCTCACCCAATCTTTCTGCAGCTGACTCCCTTACTCGGCTGCTCTCCGACACCGTCTCCTTGGTGGCCCACAAGTGCCTAATGGGTGCCAGTCGCTGCTCTAGGTCTGAACCTCCTCTGTCCCCCATCTACCTCCTACCTGGCTCATCCCTGCACCTTCCTATCCCACACCCCAGCCACCATGTGCTTTGCAGCCGAAGGAGCTAAGTCTCCACCTGGGCCGGACCAGGCCTCCTGCTGGAAAAGCCTGGGGCCTCCATCCCGGCCCTTCCCATCTCCCTCTGTGAGCCTCCTGGCGTCCGGTCGCTGCCCTGGAGGCCCCACAGGACCTGCATCCTCAGGCCGTCCCGGGCTCCTGGTCTCACCAGCCCCTCTGGCATCTGTCTCCAGCCCTGAGTGCACGTCGACCCATTAGCACGGCTGGTGAATGCATTTTTATACATGGGGTGTGTTTTGGTTGTTACTATCAGTCGTGCGACACTGCCTGATACAAAAAATAATTGACGCACTAGATAATAAACACACAGGAGAGACATACGGAACCGAAACTCCTCGTCATGACGTCTGTGGCCAGAGAACAGTCAGTCTATCAAACTGTGACGTCGAACTTGTACATCTCAGCCCACATTTTGGATTCTTTCCCATGCTATAGATGCTCAGAAAGGAAATCAGTAGATCATGTACTTAATATTATTATTAAAAAAAACCAAAAATCTAATTATCACTATATATAATATATAAAATATATACATTTACTAAAATATTTAAAACCTGCTTTAATAGGTTTCATCCAACTGCTTTTTAAAAAGTCAAACTATACACGATGGGCGGGAAGCTGGATTCTGGCCAGGCCTCCTGGGTCTCTGCTTCACTCTCTGCTCACCTGCCAGGGGAACACGCGGCTGGCGCTCCGACCCTCCTCACGGGTCATGCGTATTTGAGAGCAGGGTCAGTATCAGGTTCATCCCCAGATCTTGCCCTCAGGCCCTTAGGGGTCCAGACCGGAAATAATAGTTTCTGGAGTGAGTTTCCTTAGCCAGTTCAGAGCATCACAGTGCTGGGGGAGCTGGGATCATGAAAATCCTCTGCTGTCCAGACTTCTCCCGCCTGGTGTCCATCATACTTTGGGGCCCAGCCCAGGGCGGCTCTGTGGCCTCCATGCCCAGGAGAGCACACGTGGACAGAGAGGCCACCGCTGGAGATCAGAGCTCCGGCCGCTGGCCACCACAGCCACTCCGCCCTCCTGCCATCCAGGGCCCGCGGGGCCTGTGTGGGTGCCACACAGTGGCAGCAGTGGCTCGGCCTGGGCGAACAGAACACACCCAGCTGGGCAGAGCGGCTTGGGTTGTTTGTTTTCCATTCAGGCCCCATCCTGTGGGGACCCATGTGTGACCAGGGTGTGGACAAGTAGACAAGAGGATGGGGATGGTCACGCCTGTCCCGGAGCCTTTAAGAAGATGCGAGGAGAGCAGCACTTGGCATCAAACCCCACTGGGATCCACCTGGATTTCCACCACAAAGCCCTTCCCACATTCTCAGCCCTCTGCCTCCCGCGCAGCCTCCTCACCCCTCCTACTATGAGGCCCTCCATCCCCCATGACCCTCTTATGGCTGTGGCCACCGAGCTGCTCCGGTCAGGCCTCGCTCCTCCCAACAGAGCCCGCTCCTCACAGCCGCCATTCGCCCCCAACCCCTGTGCTCATCTGTTTTCAAGTCCCTTTTTTTTCCTGCCAGGATAGATTCAGGACCAGCCTCTCCCTTGATTTAAATCTCTGGAATGTAAGGACGCCGACTTCTCCGCCACTCGCCGGCACTCGCCCTTCCGGGGTCTGTCTCTTCCATGAGTCACCTCCGCGCCGGTCACCGGTCGCCACTCCTCACGGCGCTCCAGGCCTCCTCCTCGGTTTCTTGCAGGTCCCAGAATCAATGGCTTCAGCTCATAACAGGAGCTGGCTGTGCGCCCCGAGGCGTCTGCTGACCAAAGGCCCTGACCAGCACTGAGGTCGGGGATCCGCTTCCCCAGGAGAACGTGGAGGTGACGGGTGCAAGTCCAAAGGCAAGGCCACAGCGGGAGCCGTGCACCCTGAGAGCACGGCAGTGCTGGGGTGCAGAAGGCGCCTTGGAGCGCCCCCGCCCCGGGATGACAGCTCTTGTTCACCTGGCCACAGACAGGTCAGCCGCCACACCAGGCCCACGATGCCAGAGCCATCTCCTCTACAACGAGGACACAGGCCTCCAAAAAGGCCGGTGACTAAGGTCCGGCAGTAAGCAGGGAGGCGGGATTCGAGGCAGCAGCAAAGGCCTGCGCCAGCACTTGAGCCCCACACCAGGTGCTGCCTGCACCTCCCCACTGCCCCATCTAACTGCCATGCCCGGACACCCCAGGACGCGGCACAAAGCCTGTGTCTGTATCTCTCCCTCCTCTGCCCAGTGACCACCTTCTTCCCGTCCCGCTGTTTCCTATAGAGTGAGGTGACACGCGGTCAGGTCAGAAACTCCCCGAGACACTGAGCCACGTGCTCCTGTCGCTGCTCGGGCTGAGGCAACGCAGCAGCGCCCAGCCCCGAAGGCCTCCTGACCGCACACTGCTCGCAGCACCCTCCGGGCCTCCCGGTAAGGCAGGAGCGGGCACCAGGCGCCTGGAGTCACTCACCAGCACTGGGGTCGGCGGGCGGCTCACCCTCCTCGGAGTCTTCCTGCTCCTGCATGGTCGGCCTCTCCCCGCGCTCCATCTGCGACATGAGGTCCGGCTTGGAGATGGCGTAGTCTGGGAGACGGAAGGAGAGGAGACAGGCTGTGGGGCGAGGTTGCACTGGGCGCTGCAGAGCCGTCGCCCGTGTGAGTGAGATGCCTGAAGCAGCTGCCCACGGCCAGCAGTGTGGAAGGAGACGGCTGATTTCCCAGCCCTTTTCCTCAAGGTATGTGTGCATGCGCAGGTACACACTTGTGTGCTAACCACGGGTGTTTCCCTGCGGGACCAGCAGTGGGCCCCTTGCCACCAGTAAGCTGGCTGCCTGGCACCTGCACTCCCAGGTGCTCGCACGTGCACGCACCTGCTCGGGCTCTGTGACAAGTGTAGGAGCTGGCTCTCGGCGCCTCATTTCTGAGATGACAGAGGAAGGACAGTGGCTGTGCCCTAAAGACAGTGGCCACGGGCACCTATTTGTTTTGTACCTGATACCGAGGACAGGCCACTAAGTCCAGTACTTGTGGCTCCGTGGTGGCCGCAGGCATCGGGCACATTTCCCAAGCAAGTGTCTTGATGCCCACGTGCTTCCCAGGCTGCACGTGAAAGTCCATCACTGCCTGAGGGGCCCTCCATAGCCAGGTAGCCAGGCGCCCCCTCCTCCCAAAGCCTGGAGGACAGAACCCCCATCCAACTCAGGCCCATGGGGCCACCCCCCGACTTTCTGCCCATGTAAAGGAGCTAAGTCCTCAGGACTGAAGAAAAACAGACATCTGGGGAAAAATTAAATGGAAATTATACTTTAAAAAACCCTAGAAGCCAAACAGAACATTAATGGACTTGATTACATTGAAGAAATTTAAAGTTTCTTGGAAAAAAAGCCAAAGGTGAAAACACTTGGAGGAAATAATGACACACACCTTTGGCAAAAGGTTAACACCCCAGTCCTATATACAGAGCCTTCACAAAGAGCAAAACTTTGAAAAGCAAAGACAGGCGTTGGCGCTTCACAGAAGGAATGCCAGCGGCCAGCAGGTACAGGCAAAGATGCCCAAGGACACTGACCACCAAAGAAATGCACATTAAAATAACAAGGTGTCACCGTTTTATCTGTCAGAATAGACAGAAGAACGTGGGTTTGGGCTGGGTGAGGGGGTGCCGGGTGTGGGGGGGAGGTGCCGTGGCCCTGAGGTTGTAAGTGCTCGCCCTCTGGCCGCCGTGGGCCACTCGGGACGCTGTTCGAGGCTCCCTGGGTGCCCAGTGCCCAGCTGCGCTTACGGCAACACCAGCAGGGAGAAGACAGCACCCGCCTGCTGCTCAGCAGCCCAGACAGGCTGGGCCCTTAGGGTGCCGGGCCCTCGGGGTGCCCGAGGTCTTTGGGAGCGCTGTCTGCAGCTCCAGTAGGGGAGATGAGTGAACAGGCCCACTTGTGCAAACCATACACCACATGTGCACGCATCATGTGTGAGTGTGTGTGGTGTGAGAGTGTGTGTGCGCACACACAAGGAGGAACAGGGGCTGGGGGTTCACGGTGGTTACCTCGGGGAGTGGCACTGGCAGGTGGGCTTGCTCTTTATTATGTAAGTCTAAATTGTTGAACATCAGTTTTGTACAGACTTGAAAAAAGAAAAACATTAAAAAGAGTAAAGTTAACCCACCAGGGAGGATTGTGTATTTAAAATCAATAATTCTAGCAAGAATCAAGATTTCTCTGCAACAGCTGTATTTAAGGTTTCTCTAACTTTTTTTGGGTGCCCAAGGAGTTTCCCACGTCAGAGAAAAGGATATATCTAAAACCACGGTATAATTAGAGTATAATTATACTAAAGTATAATTTCCCAGATTTTCATCCTTAAATACTTTTATGAGCAAAAATAACAAGAATCCAGAGGCTCTGGATTGAAAGTCATTGAAATTGTGATTTTGCGGGGCAGGGAGGGGGGCACCTCCAATCTCCCTGGGTCCCAGCCTCCTCCCTGCACATGGGGACAAGATGTGGGGGGTGAATCCCTCGCGGGGGGTCAGGGCCCTGGAAGGTGAAGCGGGCACTGACACCTGCCCCTGCCCCAGGCGTGAGTATTAAATGATAAGACTCTGGCAGAGTACCGCACCACGTTTTGCTTAATAATAGTTTGCAAACTAATTTAAAAAAATGTATCTAGAGGCCACGGGGGAAATACATACAGGCAACAGGCCATGCCACCTGGTGGTGCTGCCCTGCCTGCCCCAGGGGTGCCCCGCAGAGTGGGGTCTGCTCGGCACAGGGGGCGTCGGGCTCACAGCTGTGCTCTCTAAAGCCCAGTTTCCCTTGCTTTCCCCGGGAGCCCTGGGTTCAGAAGGCCCAGAGCTTCCAAGTGAACCGCAGTCCCCAGGGCAGGGTCTTCTTACCCATGGAGACCAGGGACTCATAGTTGCCCCGCATCACATTCTTGTACAGCTCCTTCTGCCACTCGGACAGGTTCCCCCACTCCTGCTCCGAGAAATGGACGGCGACGTCATCAAATGTGACAGGGACCTGCAACCACACAACAGGCTCAGCTCCGCCAGCTGGAAGGTTGTCCCGGCCCACAGCTGCCAAGTCCCGGGGCGGCAGGGCCCCGCCCCCTGGCCCTGGCTCCAGCACCTCTTCCAAGGACTGGAGCGGGAAGGCCCAAGGCACAGCTGTGGGGTCACCAAGGACCGCTCTAGAAGTCCAGCCAGGCTTCCGGGGAGTGAGGGCCTCGGCCCAGCTGCTCCTCTTCCTAAAAGGACAATCCTCGATGCTGAAAGGGGTCTTGCACCAGAAGCAAAGGCCCACCGGGGAACATCTAGTGAGGTGGACGCTCGGGCCCCACTACACACTAAGCCAGATCCTGCATCAAGAAGAGCCCAGGGGATTCCCAGCCACATGCGATCCGAGAGCCCTGGCCTGAGACCAGGGTTGGGGTGCTGTGGCGGGCCGTGAGGAGGCTGCAGCACAGACGTGCATAAAGTAAACCTACCCGGTTCAAGTTCCTGCAGAATCTTCCAGGAAATAATACGAACACCTAACTGTTGAACAGTTTTTTCAGATCTTTCTTGAAATCACATTTCTACTGCCGCTAACATGATTTATGGTTCAACCCATAAAAGCCTTGAGCTGGACAGCGCCCCGGAACATTTCACTGAGTTCTCCCTCCACCTCCAGGTGAATGCTCACCCGGTGACTGGGGGCAGTGGCCCATCGCCACTGCCACGGCTCGACTTCTCCCCCAGACATCACAGCCTGGACGCCCTTCTACGCTGACACGCCCGGTCGCCGGATTTCTCTGCTCTATTAAGCTGGGAAACGTCTGATCCCGGCATGTCCTGTTCTTGGTTCAGCACATGGGCTACCGGGCGTCGTTCCCTCCCCCTGAACCGCTGCTTTGCCTCCTTTCACATGAAAGCCCTAAAACACGCCCAGTGCAGGTTGGGATAGGCTCACCTTGGGAACTTCTCCGTTGCTGCCGGGGGGCAGCCGCAGGATCCAGAAGTTTCTGTTCTTCAGCAGGTTCTCCATGTTCTCCAGCCGGCGCTGCAGCAGCCCGTACTCCTGCAGCAGCGTCCCCAGCACCACCCACTTGCTCTCCAGATGGTTCGCAAACTCCACGGCCGTCTTCTCGCAGTCGGCTATCTTTTTTTCGTTGGTGCCCGTCCTGCCCTCCAGGGTCAGGAGCCGCATGGCCTGGGCCTCCAGTTTCCTCTCCACCGCCTGGACAGCAGCCCACACGGCCAAGCGGGTGATCTCTGCCGTCGGCAGGGGCGTGTCCTTCTGGGCTGCGGACGAGAGCTGGAAAGGGGTGTCCTTTTGGGAAACCGGGCTCTGGAGCAGGGGGTCCATGTCGGTCTCAGGAACCGTGGGGGAAAGAGTCAGAGGGTCTTTCTCAGGAACCTCGGGGGAGTGGAGTGAGGCTTCGTGATGGTGGGACAGCAGTGAGGTGTCTTGCTCAGCAGCTGGGGGCGGGTACTGGGTCTCCTCTTGGGGTGTCAGGGGGCCCTGGAGATGACCTTCTGGCCCAGAAGCGGCAGGATACAGGAGTGAGGGTCTCTTCTGGAGCACAGGCGGCATCCGGCCGGCAGTCTCTTGCTTGGGCACACCAGGTGTCTGAGGCAGGGAGCCTTGCCGGGGCCCAGGAGACAAAGAAGGAATTTCTTTGGGGGGCAGAACACGGGATGGGAACAGAGTTTCTCGGGGGAGCCCGGCAGGGGCCTGACGTGGGGTCTCTTCTTGCAGGACGTTGGGGAATGACAGAGGTGATGAGCGCTGGGTCTCCATGTCCAGCTGCTGGACCTGTGTTCGAGGAAGGAAGGGAAGGACAGGGTTGAAGGCCACTGCCTCCAGCTGGCAGAAGCACAGACATGAATGTCTCCTGGAGACCCTGGCTCTGATTTAGACATCGATTATAAGACTATTATCAACAAGGAAAGACTGTCATGCCACCTTCTGCTTCTCAGAGCCACATCTGTGTGCACCACACACAGCTCCTGGGCACCCTCCCAGGAGTGTGGTGTGGGCGGGGGGCAGGCCCGGCCTGGAGCTGCACCTGCACTTTCCACCCTGTCTGTGCTGAGAGCCGCCTGTGTCACCCCAGCCTGGTTACTGGACCTCTCTGTTCTCAGTGTCGTCCTCCGTAAAGCGAGGATAATAGCAGCTGACGTACCTGCTACCTCATGGAGTTCTGAGAACCCCGAGCGTTAAATACACTCAAACTCTGTCCATTCCTGGAAGGGGGTGTCCTTTTGGGAAACTGGGCTCTGGAGCAGGGGGTCCATGTTGGCAGATGGCCCACTGCGGGGTGGCTGTCCGGGCTCAGGGCCCCACCCTGTGGCTGAGAGGGGCTATGGGAGGACCGGCGGCCTGGAAGGGCTGGAAGCAGCCTCGAGGCGGTCAGTCCTGGGGGCTACCTCAGGCCAGTGGGGACTAGAGCCAAAGCACGGTCTGACTCCTGGGGTTCCAGCGGTTCATGCTCCACCTGCTCCCCACCTGCCATATCCATGCTGAGAGTTCTTGGGTCACCAGGGAGAAGCCAAGGTATTCTGAGCGACCAGCTTGCCCCTGCCTGCCCAGTCACCTTTATGGGCAGTGGACAGGATTTCTTTTCAAACAAGGTCTGTCCATTTCCTCCCAACCTTCCTTCAATAAACCCACTGAACGGCCTGTCACTATGCGCCATCCACACGCCAGCTCTACAGTAACCGGAACCCTCATTTTCTTCAACTGATGAGCATAACCCAGTGTCCAGTCTGACATTTAGTAGGTGCTTAATAAATGTGTGCTGAATGCACGCACGGTCTCAATTACTGGATACCAAAGAAAGTTATGATGCAGTGAAGTCCCTCCAATCATCTATCAAGAACTCCTCTACACCTTCTTGTATCTTCCACAGCCTTTTCCTCGGTGCCCTCACTGACGGGCGGCTCGCACGACACAGCACCATACTTCTTAAACCAAGGATTGACGATTTAAGACCCGGTTTAGGTAAAAGGTTTCTGCTGCAGCAACCAGATGCGAGAGCTAATTAGTCAGGTAAGAGTAACAATTACTCAGCATTTATGATGTGCTGGAACTGGGTTCAGCATTTTCAAAGGTTATCTTATCTAAACCTCACAAAACCCTCTGAAAGAGGGACAACTCTGGTTATTATCCGCATTTCACATATGAAGATGCTACAGCTTGGCCAGGCTAAGTCGCTCGCTCAAGGTCACGCAGGCTCTGGCCTCAGCACCCGCACTGCAGGTTACTGGGGTCTCTTGTATCAGCCGGGCATGCGTTCTGAAGCCTGACCTCTCAAGTGCAGACGCTGGGAGATGAAAGGCCTGGGGAGGGTCTACCGAGGGGAAAGTCCAGCTGGTAAAGACATTTCCACTTAAAGCCGGGCAGGGACCCCTCCGAAAACCCCATCAAAGTCATGGATTCTCCCTCGCACAAAAGCATCCGTGGGCACAAGGACGAAACTCTGCAACAGCTCCAAGGGGTTCAGAGACCCTTCAACCTGAAGGCCCATGACCAGCTAAGCCGCTGCTCACCCCGGGAAAGGCTGGACAGCCCTGGGGTAAAGCTCAGACAGGGAAAGTGAGCATCATCTTCATCTGTCCTCACAGCGGGATGAGGGTATTTGCCTACAACTAGTAGGAAGAAGAGAAAAGCCCCGGGGGCCACATTAGTCTCCCTGAGTAACACAGGGTTTTAATGGAAACAGTGAACAAAAAGCGCCAGTACAGTAAATAAAGTCAGCAGAGTAAGACAGCTTTCCAGCTAGTTTAATCAGCGCTCAAAGGAAAATGCCATTTCTTTGCTCTGTATCATCAGATGTCCCCATTTCCAGCTGGGGGGACTGGTAGAGGGATGAGGGGTGCACAGGAGCATGTCCCTTCCCCCACACCCCCAACAAGAACCCCTGGCTAGAATTTCATCAGTCCCAGTAAACACGTGGCTCGCTTTTACCCTAAGCAGATATGGCCAAAGAGAGGTATGGAGCTATAAAAATAATACCTCAGATTTAAAAGCTCAAACTGTTGGGGTGTGGGGGGGGCAGAATTCTGAGCCATGTGTCATAGCATTTACCTCCCCCATGTAGCCCACGTGGAGGAGGCCTCCAGGACTCATGCCACATTAGCACAAAAACATCGCCCGCAAATCTGACTTCTCAAGAGCGCCGTGTCACTTCCCTGTTCCGGCCCAGCGCGGTTCCCCCAGAATTCTGTACCTCTCAAGGGCCCTGGACGCCTCAGCCCCAAGGTAGGCATTTAAAGATCGTCAACTAATTTTATTTATTTTTCCTAGAGCTCTCCTGAGTGATGATTTTTAAAAAGGACGGGGAGGCTTGTGACAAAGTCAGTGATGCCCACCCCGTCCCTTCCTGCACAAAACGGGAAACTGAGGCTGGCGCGCCGAGCCCCAGGCAGCCACCCTTCCCAGCACGCCGGCTGCAGCGCCCAGGCCGGCTGCGGGGAGGCCGTCAGGCGCATTCAGCAGACCGGTCTGGTCCGCCCTGCGGAGGCATCGGCCCTCACCCCTCAGCAGCTCGCTCCCCGGACCCCATCTGTCTGGACGCCCAAAGTTTGGCTGGGGGCCCTCCTGCTGCAGAGGCCGGAGGCCCGGCCCGAGGGTCACCTGCCCCTCCGCGGGGCCGCTCGGCCCCTGCCCGGCTGTCACCCTCGCCTCCCCCACCCCCCCACCCCCGACGGGCCGCGTCCGCCGCACGGGCCCCAGCCCCTCAGCCCCTCAGCCGCCGGCGGCGGCGCCCCGGCCGACCCTCCCTCCCCGTCCAGGCCCGCGGCCCGGAGGCCGGCGTCTCGGGGGCCGCGGGACGCGGAGGCCTCGCTACGTGACCTTGGGGCCCGGCAGGGCGGGTCGCCGCCCGGGGTCCGTGCCTCAGTGTCCCCGCTCCGCGAAATGGGGAGACCGCGTCAGCGCCGCGCCGGCCGCCTGAGGCCCGAGCTCTGCGCCAAACGCGCCGCGGCAACCCCGACGGACGCGGCGCCGGCCCCGCCGGGAGCGAGGCGCGCCCGCCCCGCCGCCGCCTCCGGGCCCGCGTGCCGGCCAGGCCCCGGCGTCCCCGCCGCCTCGCCCGGACGGCCGCCCGCCGCCCCCCCGCCGCCCCCCCCGCGGCCGCCCTGCCCCCGCGCCGCCGCGCCGCGGCCCCTTACCGACACCCCAGGCCGGGCCGCCGAGCCCGGGGCGCGCAGGCCGTCCCCGGGGCCCCGAGTCCGCGCGTCCGTGCGCGCGCGGGCCGCCCTCACCGGAGCCGGGGCCGCCTCGGCCATGGCCCTCCGCGGTCCCGGCCGGCCCGGGAGTCGCCGCCGCCGCCGCCGCCGCGCGCGGCCCCACGCAGGCCGCCCCCGGCTCTCCGCCCGCGGCGCCCGCCCGCCCGGCCTGCCCCGCCCGGGCTCGCGCGCGGCCGTCGGGCCCGGCCTGCTCGGGGCGCGCGGGGCGGGCGGGGACGGAGCGGCCGCGCCGGGCGGCGGCGTCGGAGCGGGGCGCGCGGCGGTGCGGGCGGCTCGGCCGGCGGCGCCCCGGCCGCGAGCTGGGCCCCGGCCCTCAGCCCCGGCCCCGGCCCGCGCGCGGCCCCGCGGCGGCGACCCCGGCTCCGGCCCCGGCCCCGGCTGCGAGCTGCGCTGCCGTCCCGGCGCCGCTTCAGCAGGGGAGCTGCTCCGCCGCTGCCATGTTGCTACAAACTGCATCCTGGGAGGCATGGCCCGGCCGCCGTTTAAAGAGAAACACTCCGGCTCGTCGGAGGCGCGCGGAACCCAGACAGCTCCATCTACAGCCGGTAGGAGCGAACAGTGGCGAGCGGGCGGCGGGCGGCGGCGGCGGACACGCCCTGAGCCCCGGCCCGCCCGTCGCGGCGCCGCGGCCCACCCGGCCCGGCCTGCCCCCGCGGGCCCCGCGCCGCTCACCTGGTGCGCGCCGCCCGGGCGCCGGGTCGGAGCCGGAGGCGGGAGGGCGCGGAGGCCGAGCCGCGCGCGGCCCCGGCGACGTGGAGGGTCTGGAGGCGGCGGGTCGGCTCCGACAGCTGCCCCCCGCCGCCGCGGCGCGTCTCACACCCAGAACCCGGGCGCCCCCTCCAAGCCCGCGCTCACAAAGGCGCCGCCAGAGCCGTCACGCCGAAGAAAGCCCGAGTTCATGTGACCAGCGCGAGCAGTCCGGCTTCCAGGACGCGGCTGGTTCCCGGGGCAGCGGGGGTGGGTGCTTTGTGAGACGCCCGCGCGCTCGCGACCTGGGGGGCGGAGGGCGAGGGGCCCAGGGCTCGCGGGCGGACGGGCGGGGGAAACTGAGGCCGGGAGGGCAGCCCCTGTTCACCCCCGGGAGTCTCGGGCCCGGGCCCCGAAAGGAGGGGCAGAGCCTGGCGTGGCGACCCCCTTCCCGGGACAGGTTCACACACCCGCATTTGTGGGCGGCCCGTGGGGTCGGGAGCGGCGCGCTCGGGGGAGAGAAGGCGCGCTCAGGCCGGCTGCTGGCTGCGGGGGGGGGGGGGCCCGCTGGACTGACTTGGGGGGGGCAGGGATTTGTTCACCTCGCGGGACCCCAGGGCGGGGGGAGGGTGGAGCCGAGGGGGAGGCCTTAGCGCGCCTCACGTCTCTCTTCAAAAATGGAGAGATCAGGCCAGGGCCACGGAAGGCTTTCCCGCCCGCCCCCGGGTCGGACTCCCCCCAGCCTGGCCGCCTTTCCTGCCGCCCGCTCGGAAAACGGAGCGTTTACAGTTTAACGTGAGCGACACAAGTCACGTATTTTACAGCCTGACATGAGCGACACAAGCCCGTTCACTCCCTGTGGCCACCTGCTTTCCCGCCACCGGTGTCTCGGAGACCGCAGCCCGTTTCCACAGGCACGTGTGCTTTGTTCATTTTAGCCACTGTATAGTATTTCACTGAATAAATTAACTCGTTTGCTGTCCATCCCCCGGGACATGGAAGCAAGACTGCCCCGGGACGGCCGCAGAGGGTCGCCCTGGGCACTGGGCGGGATTCCCCCTGCCCGAGCGCCCGATGGCCACCAGGGCCAGGCGGCCAGTGACACCCGCCAAAACAGGCCTTCTCCTCGCCAGCACTCACCAGTGACCCACTTAGACGTGTGCCCACTCACGAGGGGGGGGGCAGCTCATTACTTTGTATCTACATGTGTGTTTTCCTGATTATTAAGAAAGTTGAACTTCTTTCCTGGTGACTGGACATTGGGTTTCTTCCTCTGTGAGTTTGCGAGTGTTTCTGTTTTCCTCATTGGCTTGTAGGTGTTTTAAAGAACATAATCCAGCCACGAATTTTATATACAGAATAACATTACATAAGAAGTACCACATAGATGTCACCTGATATAAACATGTGTACATAACCTAAATATACGTATTACATAAAGGATGATAGGATTGACTTTAAATCTATCCTTTTATCAGTAGTTTCTATTTGTTCAGTGGTACTTTTTTCTCTTTGGCCCCGCTCTAGGATTATTTTTTAGTAATTCCATTTTCACCATTCCCTTATTAGTTATACCTCATTTTGTATGACTGCCCTAAGTAATTCACAGCTTTCAGTATTAACAAAAACTGTACCATTCTGTCTTAGCACAGGTTATTCATATGATACTTTATGGCATCAGTATATATTTTATACTGATGTTTTAAGCTGCAAAATATTGTTGATTGTGCACAAGGCAAATCTTTCCCTTGTGTTAATTTTTCACAGGATGGGATGTGTTGCAAAAAAAATTGTATTTTAATTTCTTTTTAGGGCCTGTGCTTTTTCTGTCTTGTTTTCTTCCCTACCCCAATGCCTTGAGGATATTCCTCAACATTTTTCTTCTAAGATGTTTACCATTTAGTTTTTTTCAGAGTTAGGTTTTTAATCCAGATTTTTTCTTTTAACTTTTAAATATATGTTGCACCTTCCTGAGAGATAAAACCTATGGCATAACGTCCACCCATCAGCACATACAAATCAGTGGTTTGCCACGTTTCCAGAACCACCATCCTTTGACCTAGGCTTAAATATTTTTGTCATTCCGCAGGGAAGCCAGCGATCAACAGGAGTCACTGCCCATTTGACCCCAGCCACCCCCACTCAGCCCTAATGTCTCATAGACATGCCTATTCTGGACATTTAAGTAACTGGGACCGTGTTCTATGTGGTCGATTGCTACTGGCTTCTTTCATTCAGTATGGTGTTTGTCAGGCTGACCGTTGCTTGTAACATGAGTTGGCATATCATACCTTTTTTATTTCAGATTATTCCATTGTATGGATAGAGGCAAATTTATTGCTCAGTGCATCAGTGACAGACATTTGGACTGTTTCAACTCTTTGGCTATTATGAAAAATGCTGCTGTGAACTTTCATGTACAAATCTTGGTGTAGATGGATATCTTCCTCGTGCGTGTATGTTAGGGGTGCAATTGCTGGGCCAAATATCCAATAGTTTGAGTAATTCCTACATTGTTTTCTGAAGCTGCTGTATCCCTTTCCATCCCTGCCAGCAGTGTAAGACACCCCAAGTTCTCCATATCCTCACCAACACTTATTACAGAAATGTATGGTGTGAAGTGGTATCTCATTGTGGTTTGGTTTACACTTCTTCAGTGGCTAATGGTATTGAGCATCTTTTTGTGTGAATTTGGAGAAATGTTGATTCAGAAACTTGGGTCATTAACATTTAAAAATCGTGGTCAAATACACGTAACATCAAATTTACCATAGCGATCCTTTTAAAGTGTCCACTTCAGTACATTGCTTTCACATTGTTGTGCAACCAATTTCCAGAACTCTTCATCTTGCAAAACTAAAACTGCATACCCATTAAACAACATCTCCCCACTTCCCTCTTGCTGGTTCCTGCACCCATAGTCTATTTATCTCTCTGAAGTCGGCAAGCTGATAGGTGGAATAATGCAGTACTTGCATTTTGGGATGCACTTATGTCACTGAGAATGATGTCCTCCTCAGCTTTATCCATGTTGCAGCGTGTGTCATGTTTCCCTTCTTTTCAGGGCTGGCTAGTGTTCCACGTGTGTTCCACCCCTCATTTGCTTACTCATTCTCCGGCTGGGGCACTTGGGGGGCTTCACATTTGGCTGTTACCTATAATGCTGCTATGAACATGGGTGTACACATACCTCCTGTAGACCCTGCTATCAGTTCTTTGGGGTATATACTCAGAGGTAGAATTGTTGCATCATATATATATATATATATATATATATATATATATATAATATAAGTTCTGTTTTTAATTTATTTGGGAACTTCACAGAATTTCCCACAGCAGCTGCACCATTTAACATTCCCACTGACAAACAGGACACAAGGGCTCCAATTTCTCCACATCCTCCCCAACAGTTGTTTTCTGGGCTTTATCTGTTCATGTTGACAGTAGCCATTACGTTAAGCATCTTTTTTGTGTAATTATGGCTATTGGTATCTCTTCCTTAGAGAAGTGTCTGTTGAAGTCCTTTG